CAAAACCTGTATCAACATGTCAAGCTCCAACTACTTCAGCAGCATCTATTTTTACACTCTAAAAGTCGTTCTCCAATGGTTTACTTTATTCTAGATCCTCTTCAGTTGATTTCCTGCTTTATGTAGATCTTGCTGCTCACTTTCCAACTGTTTTGACACAACGTTGGTTGCGCTTACATATTTGTACTGGACAATAAGTGGAACAATATTACCGAATGTAAGTGTTGCAGCTCATTAGTTAATTACCATAACAAGAGCATTTTTTTTAAATTGTTTTTTTTTTTTACGAAACCTCAGCATTTGTACTTTTTACGAAGCTTTTTCATCATGGATATCCTTGGGCTCAGGGCCTTTTTTGTGGGCTTTCTTTCTTTGCCTCTTTTTGGGCCTTTCTGCATCTTTTTTTTTTAATTGAAAGATTTTCACATTATAAATACATGTTAAGTATGAAAGGAATCTAACAAGCTAAAAGCATGATTAAGTAATTCATACACATTAGATTATAGTAACTTGATGTAATCCTTTAATCTTTTTTAATGAGAATCTATGTCCAGAATCCAAAACCCTTATTTCAAATTTATTTTAAATAGACAAAAAAGAAACAAATTAAGTTTTCACAAAATTGAATAATTAGAAGCTGTGTCGAAATCTTTATTCGTGACCATCAGGACTATCCTTATATTGTCGCCCCTTTCCCTCTTCCTTTTTTTTTTTACAACACATACCACATATTGTCATAGCCAAACTCTTTTTTTCCCACCCACCCCAATTTCTGTAATGCTATTGATGGTTTCATGAATATACAAGGTGGAAAAAGAATGGAACGACTTGGCAACAATTGCAACTCAAATGCACTATCAGAGCTAACCACCATTACAATAAGTCAGACGGAAAGCAGTTTCTTATTTTTTGACTAATCCAAGCCCCCGGTACACTGACTCTAGCTTAAAACACGGATTAATGTTTTATAACGAATAAAAAGTTATGTTATAAATATTTTGACATTTCGAGGGAGCTTTTTAGATTCGACTTCTTTAATCGGTTCTTACAAAGGTGTTATTTCTTTCACTTTGGTGTCATCCCTAAGTTTTCATGTGGGGGGGGGCCCCAACTGGTCATGAGTAATGGGCCAGAACGCAATAAACTCTATTGCGCCATGGTTGCTACGCTATATACTGTGGGCCCATAATGGTCGTGGACCCGGGTTCATTAAACCCATTCGCGTCATGGATGCTACTCCACTGTACCATTGGTGGGGGCTTTAAAGTAACAACAATTTTTAAGAGAAAACTTTGCGAAACATGGATCAAATCTGAAAACATAGCAGAACTCTTTGTCTACTAGCCTGGCTGTTAGTCTCTACAATTATTCAAAGTTAATCCTCTAATGTTAACTAAGTTTAAATCTACTTAGATTTTTGAAGACCATTGTTTCTTTCTTTTGTTGAAATGTCGAAACGTGATTTCAAGTCTGGTGATCATGAATCGTCCGTGAAGCACATTATTGCTGTCAGCGCTGAATTTTTAACTTATAGATACGGAGCAGTTTATAATTAATTATTGATTGATTTGATTCCTTATTTTAGGTCTTAATTTAATTTTTTTTCTATTTAATTTGGGGGGGGGGGGGTCACCATATTCAATTGACCTAAGGCCTCCCTATTCGCTTAGAGCCTCCAATTACCTCAGGCCGGCCCTGTTGTGAGTGTGTAGCAGTATTGTCGTATGTACAGTTGGAGATGTCATTACTTTTAGTGCATTATTAATTTTGACGCTTTTTCTACCAATGGACGACACCATCGTTGATTTGACCTCAGTAAGTTAAATTGATAAATGTTTGATTTTATAAACTTTACTTTGTGCTGTATAAGAAGAGCGAATGCAACTTTTTTCTGATAACAAACGAAAATGTTATTGAAGCAAAAAAATGAAGAATTCCGTCGGAACGATGAAAATAGTACGAGAGAAAGAGTTTTAAAAAAGGATTCCTTTAAAGCAGGGGAGGCCAACCATAGGCTTCCGTACACTTTTTGTTGTTCTTTTCACTTATAATACAGATGCGCCACACAAATGATTACCTCCCTCTCAGTCCTTAATTTGATAATATTGATTGATACTTCTAAATATACTACTAATAATATATAAACACTGTTGGCAGTTTAAAATATTTTGTTAAAATCCCATCCCTCATTTATGACGTCTACTTTATACTGCTTTTTTGTATAGGCCTAAGTCCATTTTTTTTTTACATATTTTAATTTTTCTCCTGAAAATTTCTTTCCAAGAAGTTCACTAAAGCTGTGAATGTTGTTTAGCTGTGAATTTTCGACTAACGTAATGTCCGAGAATGAGTGACCCTCGGGGACGCCAAAAAAGTTCGTGTAACACAAACTCTCGCTGCCATCTTGTCTTATCATTATTATATTCTCGAGATCACATCCATCTTTTGTGCTGCCATTTCCCCCTCCAAACATCACTGCTGTCCATGGGACAGAGAATGTACAGGTCCCTCAGTTTCACGAGGATGTCATGTTGCCATTCCCCCCTCCAAACATCACTGCTGTCCATGGGACAGAGAATGTACAGGTCCCTCAGTTTCACGAGGATGTCATGTTGCCATTCCCCCCTCCAAACATCACTGCTGTCCATGGGACAGAGAATGTACAGGTCCCTCAGTTTCACGAGGATGTCATGTTGCCATTCCCCCCTCCAAACATCACTGCTGTCCATGGGACAGAGAATGTACAGGTCCCTCAGTTTCACGAGGATGTCATGTTGCCATTCCCCCCTCCAAACATCACTGCTGTCCATGGGACAGAGAATGTACAGGTCCCTCAGTTTCACGAGGATGTCATGTTGCCATTCCCCCCTCCAAACATCACTGCTGTCCATGGGACAGAGAATGTACAGGTCCCTCAGTTTCACGAGGATGTCATGTTGCCATTCCCCCCTCCAAACATCACTGCTGTCCATGGGACAGAGAATGTACAGGTCCCTCAGTTTCACGAGGATGTCATGTTGCCATTCCCCCCTCCAAACATCACTGCTGTCCATGGGACAGAGAATGTACAGGTCCCTCAGTTTCACGAGGATGTCATGTTGCCATTCCCCCCTCCAAACTTCACTGCTGTCCATGGGACAGAGAATGTACAGGTCCCTCAGTTTCACGAGGATGTCATGTTGCCATTCCCCCCTCCAAACATCACTGCTGTCCATGGGACAGAGAATGTACAGGTCCCTCAGTTTCACGAGGATGTCATGTTGCCATTCCCCCCTCCAAACTTCACTGCTGTCCATGGGACAGAGAATGTACAGGTCCTCAATTTTTTACGAGAATGTCATGTTGCCGTTTCCCCCTCCAAACATCACTGCTGTCCATGGGACAGGGAATGTATAGGTCCTCAATTTCACGAGGATGTCATGTTGCCAGCACAACTCCAAACGTCTGGTACTTAGAGGCGCCCTGTTATTTTGAATTTATAAACAAAATCTGCCTACATCTGGAACGGATAAAAAGGGTGGGGGGGGGGGAGGTTTAGTATTCGTTTATTATCTCATAAGGAATTATTATCAGTCTCTGTTATCAACTTTACTGTCGAACAACGGGACTTATGGGTCATGGAACATTTTCATTCGATTCATTAGTCTTTAAATTATATTAAGAAACATCTTAAGATAATTGTCCCCGAGAACGTGAGATAACCAGATCTAATGTTCACAGATGCATGTAGGCCTACTTAGCCCCTATCTAATCATAAAGATACATTTTATACAACGAAGAGTCATTACGACCGTGTGGGAAATAAATAAGAAAAACTTCGTTTGTCAATATCAGGTGTCAGAAAGTTAAAAAAAAAAAAGTGTTGGTTCTTGGTATTGTGGTACTTCCAGGTCATTTTACTCACCTTTTATATTTTTGAAATTTATCCGAAAAAATAAATTGAGAAAAGTCTTTTTTTTTTTGTTTTTGGTTAATATTAAAGTCTCAACATTTTCAGCAGTAATTATGACATAATTGTGTACGTCAGTCCGATCGAATCTTTTTCAATGGAGATTTTTTCACGATAATCTAAACAATGTCAAGGATACTCAACTTACATTAAACGTTGCCAACGAAATAAAACGAAAATTGAGCTTCAAACGGGAGACTTTAGAAAATTTGATTCTTTAGTGCTAAAATGTGGACACATTCCAACACATCTTTTTTTTGTACTCCTGATACAACAATTACATTTTTTTCCCTACATTGGTAAAAATCTCAATTAAAGCGAAAAGATTACAAAATAATATTCGGCACTGATTATTGTCTCCTCTATAAAAGTTGACAATATCTAAAATGTGTGATTATCGTAAGATGAGTAGGTTAGTTGTACTAAGACTATTGAAACTTTTTGTATAAGGTCGTACACACAGCTTCAAACAGTTACAATGAACTATACTAGTTAAAACTGTTAATTATAATATAATTCCATATAGCAATATCATACGTGCCCAGCGCCCCCCTGGCTCCCAGCGCCCCCCAAAATCTCGAAAACGCCCCCAAGGAGACCACTGCTCTACACATATTCAGATTCGTCAGTGTCAAGGAGGGGTGATTGCCCTTTATAGAATCGGAGACCAATAAATGACCCTGATTGATTGCACGGCGTTGCAATAGTAAATTTAAAAATAGATTTAAAATGTTTTAATAAAATCATAATTTGAAAATGTTTTCATATTATTTTTTTGTTTTGCATTCCAAATTTTATAAAGTTTCTTTAAATAAAAATGTTGTTTTTTTTAAAGTTACGATAGTGGCTATTGTGTTGTTTGTAAATAAGTTAATTCATATTATAATGAAATTTTCCTTATTTTATTTATAGTTTAAGATGTCTCCCATTAAAGAAGAAACGTGCTCAATATATAAGTTACAAGTTATAGCACACGTTTTAGACTTTTACACAACCAAACACCAAACATCTACCAAAGTTATTGAAAGAAAAACAACAAAAAACTCGTGGGTAAAATGTATTTGGACAGGTTTCTGCAAATTTTATTGAGATTTTGTTCTCTCCCTTGGCATGTTTTTATGCGTTGCTATGGTTGCATGCTTGTAGCGGTTCATTTAGATAGATTTTTTTTACGCTTACAAATAGGTAAAAACATTACAACGGGGAGTAACAATGACATTCTCCAAATAAATTATTTTTGGCGAAGAGGAAATGAATTATTATAGCAATGGTAAACAATAATTAAATCAAGAGTGAGAGATTGAGAGATAGAGAGACAGAGAGAGGGTGAGAGAGGGTGAGAGAGAGAAAGAGAGCATGAAAGAGAATGAGAGAAAGAGAGCGCGTAAAAAAGAGAGAGAGAAACACATATGTTGATACAAAGACACATACTGATACAGAGGCACATATTGATACAAAGACACATATTGATACAAAGACACATTGATACAGAGACACACATTGATAGAGACACAAATGATACAAAGACACATATTGATACAAAGACACATATTGATACAAAGACACACATTGATACAAAGACACATGCGATGATACACACAATAACATGGCGAGATCAACAATGATACCAAGACTTGAACATCTGATACAAAGATACAGAGACTGAGACATTGATAAAGATGCAACTACCATGATACAGGAACAGATGCGATTATACAGAAACATGATGATACAAGCATAGATACAATAATAGAGAGACTGATAAGTGTAGTTTTTTTACTCTGGTACCTTCAGTCTCGACACTCTTTGCAATGAACTCGGCTCATGGGCTTTGAATCAATTCCGCGACTTGATCCGCCTAGACTACCTCATTTTCCTTACACGACCGTAATAGAATTATAATATTTTGAAAAACGTTTAACTTTTTCACTCCGAACTAACGATACCAACGTTGATTTGAACCCATTCCATTAAATTAATTTTTCATTTTATAAACTTTAATTTTTTGTAATAAAAAAAGAGCATGCATTCTTCTATAATTATATACTTAATATAACATTTCCTGATTACATACACAAACGTTATTAAAGTGTAATCATAACAGGGTAGTGAAACACAAATGAGCAAAATGAATAATTCCATCGGAACTTTCAAAATAATTAAGGAGAGAAAGAGTTACAACAATAAAGCTGTATATTAAGTGGAATTGTATCAATTGTATTATACCAATCCGGCAATACATTTTAATAGATTTCAAATTAAACAGATTAACAATGCGAAATAGAAATATTTTTATCATTTTATGCGCTATGGTCCAATCACCAATCACTTGTGTGGACCAGTTGGAGAGGGAGGTGGCGTGGGAGGAGGGGATATCTGGAACAATGCTTTCGTATCGGATTTCAAATAAAGCAATTAAAACAAGCAAAATATTTTTAAAATCCATTTTTTTAATAAAAAAAAAAGCAACAAAGCTTAAAGGGGAAGAACTCCGTCCTTAAAACTATATCTACCAATAATGTACAGGTGATTTCCCTTATTTGATATCAAACAAAATAATTAATTGCAACTAAGTAATTGACTAATTGAGTATTTTTTGTTTTTTAATTCGTGTTTTGTTAGGTACAATAAATAATATATAAGTATCACCTTGATCGAAGAACGCGTGAGGGAGAATTAGTGTTGACAATTATTAGTGTGGACTAAATCTAACAAATTTAGCCATATCTGGAAATACTAAAGTATTAAACAAAATAATTATCAGTAATTAATTGTCTTATAAAAAAAAAACTACATGGAGACCACACTGATTTGGAAACCACTGCGCAGTTCATCTCATGTATTGGTCTAGTCATCTGAACACTCCAACATAACAATGAGAACGAAAAAGAACGAGGAAGAAGATTGTCTTATTGTTTACTTTTTTGTATTGAAATATGTCTTGTTTATGTCAATGAATAATAGTGGGAAGTTTTATCAGCTTGATCCTAGAATGGTTGTGGGAGAAATAACGTGTACACACTTTTTACTCGACAAACAGAAAGACAGAGTGAGGTGATATAAGCTTTGTATAAAATGATTCTCGACTTGAATTCGAACTCGAGGGCTCAAGCCTAATTGGTGGAAGGCCGACACGCTGGCCACTGAGGTAAACAAGTGCTTAAAAATAGAAGGATGTATCGCTATCTATCGTTCGTTTCAAATATTTAGGTAAGAACCTCATTCTGTACACAAAGCTTATCTCCTTTTAGCTTGACTTGTCTCTATGTAATACAAAAATAATTTCAAGTAATTGATAAAACAATATGGTCAAATTATCAATTGATTCCTCTGTTGTCATCGACAATGAATATATCTGGAAAGTTTCAATTTGATCCGAGAATGGTAAAAGGGAGAAATAACTTGTAAAACAATTTGTTCCAGACAGACAGAGTTGATAAAGGCTTTGCAATGAACATAGAATTTTTGCGTTAAGGAAACACTTGGAAAAGTCTTTTCATATTCAATCAATCAATTGAGTTCAGTCTCTAATAATCTTGCATGCCTTGATCAACACATTGATACATGTACGCCCTAATTATCTTCTTCTAGTAAGGAACGTCTGTATTCGATGTTTATTAATATAAATGCATAGCTGAAAACAGCTGGCGGCAAGGAGATCCTAAGAGAGAGAGAGAGAACTCTTTACAAGTGTTGCTAGAGACATTTAATACCCAAAAGAGAAACTTTTGCCGAAGACATCGCAGACGGTAAACAGAGGATAATAATTGACCCGGCGGATAACGGCTTAGTCTGTATCAGTTGTGTCAAATTATGTAGGTTGCAATAGGGTCTCTGTATTCACGAGAAATACTACACTCATCCTTTATCTTCGGACTCAAAGGCAATGCCCATTATTTATTAAATGCATATTTTAAATGAATTAATTGAACAATATTTTCGATGATACACTGAAATATTGAACTACAATGTATGTATGTAAATATGGCAGTTTTAGCGAAGGAGTCTAAAGCCTAATTTCCTCATGGTCCTTATATTTAATTTAACAAGAAAACTAGAAAAAATTACTTTTAAAAAAGCAAAGCTTATATTAGGTCTAATTGCATTAATTAGATTGGATAATTCATGTACTTTTGCTTTGTGATGGCCTAGACATAATAAATCTGTGCGATTAAAAATATTTTTACCAATAGTTTTGTTTAGCTTTTATATTAGTATAGCGTGCATCTCTCCTATAACTTGTCTGACAAGTAGTGAAATGAGAAAGGAAAAGGGAGTTATCTTGGTGAATGATCGTTTGTTTAAATGCATTTTAAAAAATGTTCACTCAGAACAAAGTCCTCAGTGGGATTAATAACTTATACCACCACCTCTGTCAAGTACGATTTCTTTCCCTTGTTTAAGATATCAAACAAAATAATTAATTACCAATAGTTCATCAAATAATTGGCTAATTTTGTTATTGATTCTTATGTTGTCAGGTAAAAGAAATAATTGTGAAACATTTCAGCTGAACTCGAGTTTAAGTGTGAGAGAAATAACTTATACAAACTTTTTACCATACCGACAGACAGACAAACAGGCAGACAAACAGAGTGAGTTGATATAAGCCTTGTAAAAAATAGAATGTCCTAACAATCAATCGACTAACAAATAAAAATTAATTTTTATTATTATATATGATAAAGTTAAAACAAACTTACAATAGAGATATATTGAGTCATTTGCTGCCACAGAACCATTTAAAAGTGGATTAGAGGACTTTAATAGTTGCTCGTGACGGGCTGAAACATTTTTACCTACAGTTGGCTGAGTCTCCCAGTTGAGGTGGGTCGAAGTCGTTGTTACTGGGACGTCATCTCTATGAGTGCACTGACCTTTCCAGAGCACATCGTGGGCCTCGTAACAACATAGGGCGTCCACCTCTTCTGTGCATCGGCGTACCTCGAAGTCTCGGAAGAGGTCAGCTCCTAGACCGCACGTGGAGCATGCCTTGCATTGGTATATGTTGTCTTCCCTTCTCACTTTATAGTATTTTTCCATGCAGCCAATTACAGCGTTGCTTGTCGCGTTACAAGGATGCCGCACAATCTATGTTTTTAAGAAACCAAACAGTAAAATAAAATCTCAATCAATGTGGGAAAACTTGGTGTTTAAATTTCTTCAACAATATAATATATATCTATTGTGAATAAAGCATTATCTAATCTTAGCTAATCTTATCTTATCTTAGCTAATCTTATCTTATCTTAACTAATCTTATAAGCCTATGTTACAGACGTTTCTTCTTCACAGAAGATAGTTACGCCCTACGCGCGTCCAAGTGTGAATCTAGTGCGTCGTACATGTCTGAGACTTAAAACTCTGCTGTCATTGGTTTTCATGGCGGATTCACTTTAGTGGCACTAGAGAAGAAGTAGTGCTTGTAATAATTTGTCCTAGCATAAGGGATTAAAAATGTGTCATTATTTTTTTTTTTTTTTTTGTCTTTCTGAGACCTGAGTAATTTATGTTTTGTTAGTATTTCTTCTTTGAAGTTGTCCTAAGAGTTGACTCCAGGACTCTTGGAACTCTAGGTCTACGCAGGCTTATCCCCATCTGCCTGTCTGAACAAAGATCCAAGCAGTTGTACTTTGTTACATCCCTATTATCGATGGATCGTATTCCAAGACGTTCGTGTTTGAAGCGAGGCCAAAGGGCGAGCACAACGCGAAAACTTCCCCATAATCCTTCTCTGTACCACATCAGTCATGGAAGGGTCCTCTATATAACGGTCCTTTAAGGAACGATGTGTGGATAATGACATGTTATTTGGGGCTTCCATCCCCGCCAATGTAATGAGCTCTGTATTAGGCACTCCAGGGAGGGGGGTCTTTTTGGCTTTCGTAAATGCCTCCCCTAATGACCATTTCCATCCGAGCACTAAGCTGATGCTGAGAAGCATTGCCAGGGTTTTCATTAGTATTAAATGTTGGTAAGTAAAATTTTTGTTGTAGTTTTAAGACAAAAATAAATATTCTTACTGCTGTGTCGTCTGCTATATCGCAAACTTGACAATGACCATCCAGTCTGGCATCTCGTGCCATTGACTCTGTCCTAAATGTCCCTTGTGAACATGTTTGGCACTGATTCAATGAGTCACTGAAGAACTGTCCAACTGAGCAATTTTGATGAGCGGACCTTTTTCTCGGTTGAAATATTATCCGATACACCGGTCCGTATAAGGCGCCACCTCCGCAGACGTTACTGATCATCGTTAGTGAAAAAAAAAGTAAACTCAGACGGGATAGGGAAAAGGATAAAATCGTCATAGTCCTATAACCAGTGTTACGGTAAAGTCGTAACGTCTATGAAACAATTTCTCCCTGTAAAAAAAAAATAATACAAGATTTAAAAAAAAAAAAGGTGAAGAGAAGGGTCAGTTCTAAATAAGGCTTGTGTTACGCTTTTTTTTTTTTTAAATGATTTGAGACTGGCGATTTGCAAATGTAGCTTGCAAAGCCTCAAACAACCGCCTGTGGGAATCAGTTCAACAAACAC